TTTTGTGGTGTTCCCTCCCCCGACCCACCCGACTATTGTATAAATTTTTCTTTGTACTTTTCCTTCTGGTTGGCAGAATCCACTATTGTTTCATATGGGAGAAGGCCACTATTGTTGAACTCTGTGTCTCAGCAAAACTTTTTGTTTTTTCCTGGTGTGGCAGATGAAAGGCAGCAAGGCTGCAATAGTCTGGTGGAGGGCACATATACAGGTAGTTGGGTGAGTAAGCTGCCAGAGACTGCTGCCCAACTATTAAGACCAGCAGGTACCTGAGACTAATTAAGAGCTGGTCTGCAGCAGCAGGCTAGTGGACACCTGAAGCCAGTTAGGGCCTGTGGGTCCACTATAAAAGATTTCCCCTCCGGCAAGGAGGGGGGAAGGAGAGGAGTGACGGACCAGAGAGGAGGAAGTACAAGGTGGATAAAACTGAATGCTACAGCTGGGATAAGTTCGCACCTAGTATGCCACAAGAAGATCCCATGAGAGTGGTTGGGGAAGTGGCCCAAGGAGAGGCTACTGTTCTTTGGGGGTAAGAGCAGGATCCTCATTAGTGGCCGCTACTTAGGGCCCTGGGCCAGAAATCGGAATAAGTGGGCGGGACTGGGTTCCTCCCAACCCTGCCCACGCCTGGTTCACTGTGACCAGGGAAAAAGGGGACTTTTGGACCACAGAAGGGTTTTCCCTTCAAACTAGTGACTTGCCTATGATGAAAATGGCTCATTAAATTGGGGAACCCTCTCCTCTGAGAGAAGCAAGAGGCAGTGGGAGGGTCACCCGGAGCCTCTGAGGCATCTTAAAAATCCGCCAGCAAGCGCAGGACCCAGGTGGGTATGACCGGAGCTCTGCCACACTGATAAGAGCAGGGAGGCCAAATACAGTGCTGCATACTTATGCTTTGAAGAAAGAGTTTTGCACTCTACTAGTAAACAGCAGAGACAATTTACCACATTTTATTATCCTACAAATAGGAAAGCTTTTTTCCTGGCCCACCAAAAAGTTGAATGACAACCTAAATGTAACTTCCTTGCCAGAGTCAGGCTGTGTCCAGACTCAGGGGTTTTTTCGAAAAAAGTAGCCTTTTTTCGAAAAAACTTCACCTGCGTCTAGACTGCAGCCGCGTTCTTTCGAAATTAAATCGAAACAATGCGGCTTTTCTTTCGACGGCGGTAAACCTCATTGCACGAGGAAGAACGCCTTCTTTCGAAAGTTCCTCTTTCGAAAGAAGGCGTTCTTGAATGTAAATAGGGCTTCTTCGAAAGAGAGCATCCAGACTCACTGAGTGCTTTCTTTCGAAAAAGCAAGCCGCTTTTTCGAAAGTTCCGCGTGCAGTCTAGACGCTCTCTTTCGAAAGAGGCTCTTTCAAAAGAGGCTTGCAGTCTAGACATAGCCTCAGTGAACAGGATTCTAGCTAGATTTACTCATAAAAGGAATACATTTTATAGAGGATCTCAGTTCAGTATGGAAGAAGGCTCAGTTGTTTGGATGGAACTTCATCTTCTCTTTCAAGCTCCATAAAAAGTAGTCACTCTCTTGGTCCAGGATCCACATAGAGTAGTTGAAGACTGGGAGAGCTGGGGACAGGTATTATCACTTAATCTAGAGTTGTATTACCTTTTAGAAAGAGACTTGCTGTGCCAGCCATCCCACAATCCCCCTAGCCCTGTCTCATCCAGGGACCCAGAAGCATCCATGAGGAGTCCCTATCAATACTGCTCCAGTGGACCTCTGGTACATCCTTGGAGACCTGCCTCAGGACCAGTTGTGTGGGGTTTAACAAACCCTGCCTCACTCTTATGGGAATGTTAAGTAAGGGAATGTTATACCAATAAGTATATTCCTCACGGAGGTTTCCAGCCTTCCCACCATCAACCGGGGCAAGGAGAGGTTGAATTGGGGAATTGTTTCAGTTGTTGCAGGCCTAACAAAGTTATCATTGAAAGTCATTGTAACTGTTTGGTATCTGAAAAACCAAGGTTTAGTCTCCGCTTCATGTAAAGGTTGGACCTCTCTGGTCTGGCACTCTGGGGACCTGAGCGGTCCTGAACAAGGAAGTTTGCCAGACCAGGGTAGGTCAGGCCTCCAGCTCTCCTGTGGCTCCGCTCCTGGCTGCCGGCCTCGGCCAGTGTGCTGCCCCTGGCCCACCTACTGATCTCTACTGTCCGCTGGCAGGACTCCACTCTGGCTGTCGGCCCCACTCTGACTGGCAGGGTTCCCTGCCCCTGGCCCTGCTTCGACCAGAGGGGCTCCACACTCCCAGCCACTGGACCACTTTCTGGCTTCTGGACAGCGGGGGCTCCCTGCCCCAAGGCCACTGGCTCTGTGGGCTGCTACTCCATTCCCAACTGTTGGCAACTTCTGCGGCTGGGGCTCTTTGGTCCAGCAACATCCATGATCCTGCTGGACCATGGATGTTGCTGGACCAGAGAGTTCCGGACCACAGAGGTTCAGCCTGTATTATGTGGAGGCATTTCTACCTGTCCTAAGACTGTATGATGTGCTGGAGAAGTGAGGAGGATTTTCTTATACAAATGAATTATCTAGAGAAAAATGGCTACACAGTACAGTTTGTGGTGGTATTCATAACTGAACTCCATCTTTCAGATAGATACTGGGGAGGGGAGCGGTAGGATAAGCAGCTGTAAGGCAATTACTAATGTATACATCTAGTTGAAGCCAACATCACCAGTCAAGACACCCCCATAAAACTATCAATATAACCAAAAAGAGGGATGGAATTTGAACATGGAGAATAAGGGGTGGGGAAAACATTATATATGGAGGTGTGGACGTGGTTGTCTTACACCACTTTGTCTCCCTGTTAAATGCATGTAGATTCACATGGTTCAGGAAATATTCGTGTCTAGAGGTCTGGCTTATTGACAAAATAGAACAGTTCAGCACCAATCTGACAGCCCTTTCCTTTAGGTTTGACAGTTCCTTCCTAAACCCATCTCCTTCCTAAAGCCTTTCTCAGGGTTGGCTTCTACTATTGCAGGTATGTTCCTTCACATGGGCAGACATCTCTCAGGTCTGTCTTTGGACACTGAGCTTTCCCTCTTTGTCTGTTCAGGCTTCTCTTATTGGGAAGTGCCACCTCTGGGCTGCTGTATATGATCCTTAGTCACTCTGACTCAGTTATGAAAACAACACTTTTGAAAAGATTCATTCACTGTTGTTTTGAAAGGGAGAGAGTCTAAGGCTGGGGAGAGATGATTGGGAAGGAAGATGAGCCTCTCACAGCCACCAGTAGAAAGAAAAACCTGCCCAAGATGTGATGGTTGTATTACTAGAAAATGGGTGGTGTCAGAATGCAAATGTCTGACAGAATCAGAGAGCCCTCTACTACAGTGAGGGCTTTTGGAAGTCCTACAAGCCAGTAAGACCAACAAAGGATCAGATTCTCCTCTAGTGTGAATTGAGGTAGCACCATTGAAGTCAATGGGGCTAAGGGTCTGACCCTTATGGCAAGTCCTCTGTTTCACAGGTTCCCATTTCAACCACAATATGACCAGATTGCTCAAACCAATTAGGCAATGTTTTTCTGCCTTCTGTATAAGCTTCTAGTGATGTAGAAGCGTTGCAAGGAAGGAATTACAATAACTGAGCCCCAGGGTCATGAGGGGCTGTGTTCCTGTTGCAGTGTTGTCATAGGATAAGTAAGGGCGCAGTTGAAAGAAGATTGCACAACTGGAGGTTGCACACAGTTTTGTACTGTGTATGACAAGTGTCTCTCTTAAAGGTAATGGCTGAATAAAAAGTAAGCAAGAGTAAAGTGGAGATGCAGAAACATAACTAAAGGGGTTAGGAGTGATGCAAAGGCAAGTAAAAATAGCTAAGTCTTTCTGAACACTTGTTCTGTATTCATTGCATTTGACTAGGCAATGACTACTAATTGGATTAAAGCACTGTTTGATTCACCCATACGGCTAAGTCTTCCATTATTTCCTGTGTGATAAAATGCTGACTCTGTTTGGATTTTACAATACTAATGTTTATTTTGGGGGAGCAGGGAAAGAAAGGGGACTAATTATAGCTTTGAACGCCACTACAATGAGACAGGGTTTTCTATTAAATATTTCTCAGGCAGTCTGATGAGTCATGAAATGCAGCTTCTTCAGAAAATATCCTGATTGCCTAATGACTAGGTGTTGGTAACTGAAATTACACTCTCTCTCTCTCTCTCTCTCTCTCTCTCACGAAACCAGGGAAGTGTCTGCCTCTGAGTAAGTTGTTTATTGAAGTTACCCAAGAAATGTAAAAGGGCTTATGATTGCAAAACAGGTTAAAAAACTCTGAAATTTGAGGAACATGACAAAATACCTGCTGTAAAATACAAATAGTGGAATATTGTTACTGTAATTTCATTCACAACATGTATCTTCCTTGTTAGGTAGCAAAGTTCAAGCCCTGGTAGATTGATTATAAAGAAAGAAAAGCATTGAATCAGCCAATGAAAGTAACAACATTAAATACCTTTAGCACAAAAGCTTTATAATAAGGATTGCCACCAAATAGCAGAATTCATTAAACACTTGTTTAACTGACTTACGGATCACACAAAATTTATTCAGATTTATAAGAGGGACATTAAATTCATTTTCCTTCATGGATTTTTAAGTCCAGAAAGAACTATTATAATATCATCTGCTCTGATTTCTTGAATAACATGTACCCTAGCTTTCATTTGGATTCTATCCTGGGCTGTACTTCATTCTGCTCCAACAATTTATGGTTAATCTAGAATATGTTTTAGAAAGACATCCAATAATTGAGAATTTAGATAAATTGATCTTCATATGTTGGAAATTGTGCAGTAGAAATGTTTTCTCCTGGAGTTTAACAACTCAGAAGGTTTTACCCTTTAAGTTATATCTGTTTTTCAGATAACAATATAAATTAACTGAGATTTGAGTAATGAAATTTTCACTGTATTTTAATAATGTGTGTTTAAAATTCTTTTTGGAGAGGACTGATGAATACCTATGTGCTTTGTTCTGTAGATGATGTAGAGGAGGTTAACGGTATGAAAAGTGTGATGTTAGAATATGCTGCAATGGACAGAGAGCTAAACCATTATATGCAAGCGGTTCAAGATACAGTACACCAGGTAAGTGATCATTGCCATGCTAAATATTGATGAGGTTTTCTAAAACATTTTTATTCATAAAAAAAAATATTAAAAGAACATGTCTTCAGAGTCAAGCCCTCCAAAGTTAGGAAGTGCCAGAATCAAAATTCCCCATTCCAACTCAATTCAGTCCTGTTGGCACATGCATTGTGCAAGTGTTTAATTATATGATCACATATTACGTTTTCTGTAGGACCCCTTGCTCCTTCAGTGCAGAGGATGGAAGGCACTGTGGGAGTGAACCAGGATTGTGTATTTAGTATAGTTTGAACCTCTGTGGTCCGGGACTCTGGTCCGGCAACATTTGTGGTCCAGCAGGACCACAGATGTTGCTTGACCAGAGAGCCCCAGCTACAGAGGTTATCAGTGGCTAGGAGTTCAGCCAGCAGGCAGCCTGGAGGGCCAGTGGTCTGGGATCAGGAAGTCCAGCTGGCAGCCAGAGCAGGACTGGGCAAGGAGCCTTGCCAACCAAGCGTGGAGCTCTACCGACAGAGAGACAACCTCTGCAGGCCAGGGGTGTAGATCTGCTGCTAGCCGGCAATTTGGAGCCACTGCCAGGCAGAGGTAGGGAAACCTCTGCTGGCTGGGGGGACAGAGCCACTGCTGGCTGGGAGCATGGAGCCTCCGTCGACCGGGGTGAAGGGAGCCCCACCGGCTGGAGCAGAGCAGCAGCTGGGACTGGAGCTCTGCCACTGTCTGGGGGCAGCACACTGGCCATGCTGATGGTCAGGAAGTGAGCCCAGGAAGAGCTCCATGCCACACCTTCCCTGATCTGGCAACTCCAGATTGGAAGATATTCACTGAATAAAGCAGGTCACTGCAGGAATGAAAAAAACGATTCCCTAGTTCAGGCAGTTGAATCCTACCATTAGGAACTGTACTCTGTCCCTGCCCGGTCACAAAGTTCCTATGTGATGCTGAGCAAATCTCTTTTTTTTAAAAGCGAACTGTTAATCAGAAATTCCTTGATCTTGGACCATATTGAGTGTCATATGGAGTCATCAAGGTTAAAACTTTCAAATCCATGGCCCAGAGTCAGTAATAGCAGTAGAAAGTTCTGCTAGGGAGCCAGCCACTAAAAGGAGATGAGGCACACATTTTTCAAGGACTTTCACAGCTATTTGTTGACAGACAAGGAATATTGAGACTCTGGAAGCTTGAGTTCTATTCCAAGTTCTGGAGGAAAGTGAGCTGTAGTGGTTACAGTCCTTGTTACACATCTTCTTTCCTTGACCTTTCCAGTCTTTTCATGTCTGTTTCCCAGTATGCCCCTTTCAGTGTCTGGTCCTGTTCCCCAACTCTTCACCTCCAGCACCTTGTTCCAAGTGCATTCCCCTTTCCCTGTTCATTTTCTCATCTCAGACTCTCTATCAGCTCAGCTCCTCCCCCTCCTTACTTGTGCCCCCTTTTGGGATGCTTATTGTTTTCAACTGCCTTGCCACCAGCAGAGGGAGCATTGAAAGCACAGAAGAGAGAATGTCTCTGCTTTCAATACCTGTGACTGGCCCCAGAGCAGCCCTGAGCTGCCAGGATAAGCAATTGCAGGGAAAGTCCTGTTCTCTGCCACGACCCATCCTCATTACAGAGTGAGAGTCTTCTGTGAATTTAGCTGCTAATGTCTCTTCTGGGCATATACAAACTGAGATTTTAAGGGGCTATGACCTGACCACTTGTAGGCAGACTTTTACAGACAGCAAAAGACACATCCCTGCAACCACAGCAGTCTCCCAGCTAAATAACAAATCTCTAAAGCACAGAAGCTTTAGAGCTTTGACAAGTGTTTTTTTTTAAGTAACATGGGGGAAAAAGTCACCCTGAGCAGGTGACATGAGTCTAAGAGAACTGTAATCTAGGTTTCATCCTCTCAATAGAACAGATCAGGGAAGGGTAACAGGTGTTTTTCGTGTAGCTATTCATGGGAAGTTGGACCTTCTTCTGCTCCCATCTTCTGTTTAGGTGTGTATTCCACACCCATCAAGTGGGATAATTGTGAAGCATGCAGGTGGCCTCCAGACAGCCCAGCATGTCTCCTTGTGCCAGCATCTATGGTCCATCTGTGAATCTACCTTACAATGTGTCCCCTAAAATGTATGTACTAGTTACAGTGAACAAAACACTGGTGCTATTTCTCCTTCACCTCTGCCAAAGTTGGGGAGGGCGCTATGGCAAGAAGAATAGAGAGAACCACATGAGTTGGCTCCTACCTGAGTTGAAAGAGGCTCAAAAGCGAGTCTAACTTTTCCTCAGAGGCAGAGCACCAGGCTATTCATATGTTCAGGGAGAGGTTACCATGTTTCATTTTTTAATAAAACTCAACCTGAAGATTAAAAAATATCCTACCACCTTTCATCATTGTGATCTTACTAAGGGTGTCCATTGTTGTTCACTGTGTGTGTGAGGAAATGGAAGACCAGAGTGATTCCAAACCCATGATTGTGTATGCCCTGCTTTCTTGTTATAAACCACACTTAAAAATGAGTGTTCATCAAACAGTATGGAAACTTGAAGCTGATAGGATAGGGAGAACTTGCCCTCTGCCTGCAGGCAGGATCTGTTCTGATGCAGTTATCTGGAGTTCAAACACCTGATATTTTACCTTATCTAACCCTTGCCAGTTATACTTACATGCCAATATAATACCGCAGAAGCTTACAATGAAATAACAAGGAAATAGTATGAAGTATAGTTATACATTTCCAAAAGCCAAGTCTTTGTTGACTTAATCTGCAGTTGGAGCAACACACAAGGTGAAACTTAGCCGCATCCTCTTCTGGTTGAATCAGTAGCCTGTTGAGTAAGAAATGAGCAAATGCGTTGCAGTGCTGCTGTTTCCAACAATAGACTGTGGGAAATCCTTTGTCCGTGGAAATTCCCGCTGACACTGAATTTCGCACACCTGTGTAATGACTTCTCCAGGGCTCTGACCATCTTTTACAAATTATCAGCTTAACTACATCTTACAGTGTCCTTACCATTCAATTAAACCATTTGTTCCGCCTCTCAATCACTTCTAAGAAAGGCTGTTTGTGTGTGTGTGTGTGTGTGTGCGCGCGTGCACTTAAAATAAAGTTAAAGGCCAGATAGTTCTGTTCTAGCCCCTTATGCTGCCCAAGTAGAACAAAGTGGCTGGAAAGTAGTCTGGAGGGGCAAGCTGAGAATTTCTTGGCTTGAGGAGCTTTTAGCTGGTAGAGAGTGAGTGTCCCCAGCTCCTGTGACACCCCTTTGTCCTCTCTCAGTGGTGCCATAGATAGGGATATGAAAGGTTGACCAATAAGCATCACCCTAGGAGCGGGACTGGCAGCTCTTGCTGGCTCCACTCCTGGGGAGGAGGCTTTGCTGCAGTACTTAATTAAGCTTTTTACAGTACTGCAGAGCCTGCAGCTTGTAACTATGTAACCGCTAAGATTTTTAGCAGTTACATGGTTACCTTTTTTGAAAGATTTTTTACATCCCTCGTCATAGGAGGATGCTATGGACAGGACAGGGAGAGGAGTGGTGGAAGTACTTGGCTTTTTTTATTCTTCTGGTGTATGGTTCATTAGGGGCTGTGTCCAGTTGGTATAATTTAGAGCGTTCCCCAGACTGTTCCAACCCATGTAGATCTCTGGGTAGCACAGATTTGCCCCTCATCCCATCTGCAGTACAGGCAAGATCTGGGCACTTGCTGTGCTAGTGAAAGGAAAATATTCTGGTGGGTCTGGTAGCACAACCTGTAGTTAAGGTTGTTTGACATTTGCTATTCAGTTGCTTATAAATTTGACAAACTTTAACCATTTATCTCTTCTGTGCTCTCACTGCAACTGTTGCTGAGCCCAGGCAGCATGCAGGTAAAGGAAAAATCAATTCAATTAATGCACAACACTGAAGAAGAATGGAGGTTGGGCCCAGGCATGAGGAGTTGGCTTTAAAAGGGGAGCATTGACAGGGGGAAATGAGGTGTGTGAGGACTGGGAGGATATGTAAGGTTTAGAGGAAGAGGCAATTGTACGGGGTGACGAGCAAGACCTGAAGAGAGGTGGTGTGTCTGAGAAGGCATATAGGCACAGTAAGGAAAGAGGTTGTACAGGAGAAGAGGAAGCACAGGGCAAAGAAGCTGGATTAAGATGATCATACTAGGAAGAGGAAAGAATGAGCTGGAGAGGGTGTTGGGAGACTGGATAAGTTGCAGAAGGTGGAATATATGTAGTGAATGAGGCATAGGACTGCAGGAAGAGAGAGGATGGTGTCATGGTTAAGGTAGATGAATGCCCTGTTGGAGAACTGGATTCTATTCCTGCCTCTGTCCAGGGTTCCTGTGTGATGTGAGGCTGAACAAGGATTTACAGCAAGTTGTTTATTGCCCATTTTAGAATGTAGCCCTAACCATGGTGGGTCATACCTGGCAGCTCCATAACTGTTAACATATTGGAAGACTGTGATAATCTAATAGTATGAATACTGATATGAACTATTTATTTATTTTGATATACGCTCTAGGTGCGTGTAGTGGGGTACCCCTCCCTCTTTGTTACGGGGTACTCCCCCTTCCCAACACCCACGGGGTCGTTAGTTCAAACCCCTCCTCACGGTCGCCTATGTGCGTCCCAACTAATCAGGTCATTAACTTGCCGGGTCTCCCCGAAACGTCAGCTGCACGGTTTCCTCCTGGTGGGGAGAGGGGGGTCCGGGCCCATCCCTTCTCACGGACCCCAGCCCAGGGCCCTAAGGACTCAGACGGAACCTTCGTCTGGTCCGGCTGACGGGGCCGTAGCCCCAACTTGTCAGCCCGCAGGCTCCCTTCGCCCGCCCTGGGCTGCTTCCTCTCCCCACTCCAGTTCACCCTGCTGAGCAAGGCTTACCCCTTCGGCTTCGGGCCCCTCCACCTAACGGCCCCGGGGAGGGAGGCCATTCGTGGCCTGCTTCCCCCTCCTTCCCTGCTGGTGGCATTTAAATCCCCCGGATCTGCTCCGCCGCCGCGGCCCCACCTGGCGTGGCGTGGT